CACGGAGAGTGCCGCGCGCCGGACCGAGTATTGCCGAGCGAAGGAGACGCGGCAGAAATCGTCGGCGGTGCGAGTGAGAGGGAGGGGAACCGAAGCCGGAGCGAGAACCACCGAGCGGGCGAGTAGTGCACGCGTCAGAGACAGCGATATACGCGGAGCAGCAGGGAAACGTAGTAGGTTCGGAAGAGAAAAGGAGGGGGCAGCGGTAGCCGTTGGCTCGGGGGAGAAAGAGAGAGAGAGAGAGAGCGAGAGGAGGCGAGGCGCGTAACAAAAGCAAAAGGGAGAGAGAAGGAGCGCGGGCGACCGAGAGAAAAGACGCGGCGAGAACAGAAGCGGGGAGCGAGAGTGGCGCAGCGCGGGCGCCGAAGCGGCGCGGAGTGGCGCGGCGCGCCGGCCGCCACCAGGCAGCGCCTCCGAATCTCATCCCGTTCGGTCCTCGGGGGCTTCAGTCAGTCAGCCGACGCTCCGAGACGCGGTGATTATTCCCATTGTATGCCCGCTGCTCGAGGGGGGGTTCTTCCACCACTGACTCTCGTTTCCTCTCTCGCTCTCGCGAGCGGGCCCCGATCGCTGCTCGCCCTACAACCGGCTCTCTCGGCCTACTGCCGCCACCGCCGCCGCGTCCTCGTCCTCTCGTCCTCTCGTCGTCGTCCACGTTCGTCGTGGTCGTGTCGTGCTCGCGATAGTGTTTTGTCGAAGCGCGAAACGGAGCGTCGGTTTCGTTCGTCGTTGATCGTAAACTCGCGTGAGATTCGCGCCAAACGACATTTCTCCTTATCTCTGACCACATTCTGCTACACCTGTTTCTCTCTTCACGGGTGATTCTACGAAAGAGAGAGAAAGAGAGAGAGAGAGAGAGAGAGCGCGCGATTCAACTGGATTTCCAGTCGTGCGTGCGTAGGTGCGCGCTGCCTCCCTCCAGCTACATCGATCTTCCTGCGAGTGAGAGATCGTCGGTCACGTTTGCGACGGAACCATGAGTTAGAGAGACCTGTGTGGGACCGTCAACTTACGATCTTCACCTCGATTCGTAACGATCCTTCTCTCTCATCGTTGGAGTTTCTTTCGATAACGAGATACTTCCTGGTTCTACACACGTAAACACATCAACCTCGTCGTTCTTCAACCAAGTGCAGATATCGAATATATATACACACGTATTCTACACGTATATATTCGTCTACGTTACCCGAAGGAGTGTCGACGAAGTTCACTACTAGAGATCATCCGAAACGCGCTCGTCGTCTTCCTACCTGCAGCCTCGGATCGCTGGTTCTCGTTCAAGTGCCGGTTCTGTGCGGGGGTGTAAATAAAGCGTCTGTATTAATCGAATTGCGTGACAAGTGCCACGAGGACGTCGAAACGAACGAGGGTAGTCGAGGCTACCAGCGCGCGAGCAGGATGATATGAGCACGCTTGGCAGGTGAGTGGAGACGCACGTGACCGCGTTACACGTTTACACTTCCGTCAATAACACAATGCTCACCTTCGAGATCATCTTGAAAGCCCTAAAATGGTGAATCAATCCCCACCCCCGGTATGACAAACTTCAAATCATATTCCTTCGTGTCGAATGTTCCACGTGAATCTCAGGCCGGCTCTCGATTTCTCAATAGTTCCACACTCGCCACGTAATCCGTGTATACTATACCAACGATAACGTCACCGTATCACGTCTGTGTGTGTGCGTGCGTGCGCGTGTGTGTACGCGTGTGTTCCGGCAGCACAGGGCCATGTGTTCCCCGGCGAAAGAGAAGGAGAGATCGGCAGAGAGAGTGACAGATCGAAGGAAGAAAGAGAGAATCGACGACGCGTGTTTAGAGCGAGGGAGAGAGAGAGTTCGAAGGAGGGTGGCCGGAGAAAGAGGGAGAGACCATGCAACGCATCTGACCCAGTGACCCTCCCTTGGCTCTCTTCGGTGTCCCCGTTCTCCCCGTCCCTTGCATTTCCCTCGTCCAAATGCTTCCCATTTACTCCACCGTATACACTACACATATACATACACACGCACACTTATCCTGCGTGCGCCCTGCGCGACCCTCTCTCTCTCTCTCTCTCTCGAAAAAATCTCCAAACGGATTCGCCTTTCCTCCGACTTCGACGACCACTTGACGCTCCTCCGACGATCCTCTGTCGCGCCGCGTCTATCCGCCTCTTCTGGGAGAGATTCCATGGGAAACAAAGTCGTCTTCGCGTTGAACGTGACTGGTTTAGGTTATACACCCTGTGTATCCCCTTAGGGAGCCGAGAAGGTTTTTTTTTTACACAAAGTAGGAAGATTTTCGCGTGTGGAATAGGTGTGTGTGTGTCGAGATTTTCGTACGGTTGTTCGGTTCGTGTTTGGATTGCACATTTGTTCCCGGAGATCGAATGTAGGAGGCTTGAAAACGCACACGGTGGCGGTAGATCAAAGGGGTGAAGTCGCTGGTTTGCATAAACAGCTAAACCGGCGAAAGAGGGGTCTCTCTCGGGATAAATCTTTCAGCGTGTCCTTAATTAAAATCAGCATAACCGAGGGAGATGGGTGTACCTACTGTTAACCTTTTACGTTCGATAGAATTTTTTTTTTTAGCGGAGAGATCTTTATTTGGTAGATTGGGGATAGTGGATTAGTGCTTTGAGGTGGTTTCGATTACTTTGAAATTGTGGGATAATGAAGAGGGGAGGATAATGTGGAGATGCGGTGAATAGATTGAACTTGATCTATATCTGGTATTAATAGTGTGTCCCTTTCGCGTGTCGGATCGAAGTGTCGGAGTAATGTGACGAAGTAAAGCAAAAGAGTCTTCTTTGGTATCACTGTTAGAACATTGTTGTGTGTAAATGTTCAAGTGTCAAATTATCGTTAGAGGATGAAGCAAAAGAATCTTTTTTATTGTTACTGTTAAAACTTCTGCAAAATTGTCATCTTTTGAATATCGACTCGAAGTGTCAAGCTAATACGACCAAGTGAAGCAAAAGAATTTTGATTAACGTCGCTGTTAAAAAATGTAGAAAATTGTCACCGTGTAATAGATTCCAGAAATGCAGTAAATAAATTGAACTTGCTCTTGAATATCTGTTATTAATGTGTCTCTTTTGCATGTTGAATCAAAGTGTCAAATTAATACGGTGAAATAAAGCAAAAAAGAATTTTCTTTATTGTTACTGTGAAAAAAATTGACAAAATTGTCACATATGGAAATTGTTATATTCCAGAGATTTAATACGTAAATTGAACTTGCTCTTGAATATCTATTATTAATTTGTGTCTTTTGCGTGTCCAATCCAAGTGTCGAACTATCACGATGAAATAGATCAAAAGGATCTTCTTTATCATCACTGCTAAAACATCTGCAAAATTCTCACTTTTCGCGTGTCAAATTGAAGTGTCGAACTATCACGATGAAATAAAACAAAAGAATCTTCCTTATCATCTATGCTAAAACATCTGCAAAATTGTCACCGTTCACGCATCGAATTGAAGTGTCAAACTATCACGATGAAAAGTTATCATCGCTGCTAAAACATCTGCAAAATTCTCACTTTTCGCGTGTCAAATTGAAGTGTCGAACTATCACGATGAAATGAAACAAAAGAATCTTCTTTATCAACACTGCTAAAACATCTACAAAATTCTCACTTTTCGCGCATCGAATCAAAGTGTCAAATTTTCACATTGAAACGACGCAGAAGAATCTCTCTTATCATCACTACTAAAACATCTACAAAATTCTCACCTTTCGCGTACCAAATCAAATTGTCAAATTTTCACAATAAAACGAAGCAAAGAATCTTCTTTATCATCAATGCTGAAAGATCTGCAAAATTCTCACCTTTCGCGTATCGAATCAGTGTGAAATTTTCACGGTGAAAGGGAGCAAAAGAATACTTTATCGCCACTCTTAAAACATCTGTAAAATTCCCACCTTTCGCGTATGAAATCAAAGTGTCAAACTATCCAAATGAAACGAATCAAAAGAATCTTCTTTATCATCACAGCTAAAACATCTAAAAAATCCTCACCTGTCGCGCATCAGATCAAACTGTCAAATTCCCACAATAAAACGAAGCGAAAGAAACACTTCACCCAAACGATCACTCGAAACCGAGCATTCTCCCGAAAAAATGCAACCTCAGAAAAACCCTCTTCGCAAAAAGCACAAAACTCCCACGGCTATCTGCACACACGAACATCTCGTCAAACATCATTCTCCGCCGATATCCTGTCCAGCTCGATAACACCGAAAGGGTTAACAACGCGTTAACACGCAACGTTCCATAAATATCCGAAAATTTCTTGCCCACAGAGGTGCCGTTCGCGCGTTACCAGAACGCGGCGTTAGAGCGTCGCGTGGTTGGTTAGCGATCTAACTACCTCCAGAAATAAAACCGCTGTCCTCCTGTCAACGTTACATTGCATTGTTCCACCGTGCACAATGGCCGCACTGTGTCTCTGCCCAGTGGCAGTCGAAATTCCGAGAATTTACCGGTTGCATTTAGATGAACAATATCAGAATAGAAATCGGCAGAGTGTGCCGGGTCCGTACTATGTTTCTCTCCTCCGAGCGCGCTCCTCTCAAGAAAGTTGCGTCGCGCGGTTACAACAAACGTACAAACCCCGAAATAGAGGCTTGCGGAACGAGTTTCCCACCGCGACGAGTAGCACACACTCACACAAACACACACGAAGGAATTATTACTCGTGCCATTAACTCTTTGTGTTCTTCGACTGGCCGTACAACAATTGCGACAAGAAGACATTCGGCTATTAAAAGGCCCTGTGCGCGATAGTCTGAGAAGATTAGGCGCGAAACACGGTAGCACAGGAAGTTCTCTGTTGCGAGAGTAGAATTATTGCCGGCGTTCCTTCGTTTGCTCTTTCACGTCGCTCTGTCTGGTGACACCGGCCGACACTGATTTGTGCGTGAAAAGGGCTGGTGGAGATTTGCGGAGGAATTTCGAGTGAAATTAGGTAGTCCGATGCGAAGGATCGATCGAATCGGATTAGAATAGGAAATTAAACGGGGCAAGTGGAATATGGAAAATAAATGATTAAGTGGTGGTTTATTTGGTGGAGAAATTGCAACCATGCGGTTAACTTTGTGAGATAGATGGCTTGTCAGTCCGCTGTCAGGCTGATTGTGAACAGAAGGCAAAAGAGAAACGTTCAGGTTTCTTCCTGTATGGATAGATTAGAGTGGAAATTTTATTGTTAGCGTTTGTTAGGCCTTTGCTGTAACCCAAACTTCAGTTTCCTTCCACACACTCAGATGAATTCAGGTGAAAATAATTTCGGTTTCACGTGAAACCTAAGAGTTCAGGTTCCTCCTCTAAAGCTAGATTAGACAGCGTTTGTTAGGTCTTGTTGAGACCTAAACGTTCAATTTTCTTCCACACAGGTACTTATTTAGATAAATTAGGGCGAAGATAATTTTGTCGCTAGTGTCCATTAAGTAAATGAAACCTTGTGAAGCCTAAACGTTCAGGTTCCTCCTACATGCATAAATCAGAGTGAAAATTAATTTTCCCAAATTAAAATTCGAACGATTCCCATATGAAACCTAAACATTCACGTTTCTTCTACACCTGTGCATAAATTACAGTGAAAATTCAGTTCCCGAATTGAGATTCGAACGATTCTTCGAGAGGAAACCGATAGCCACAGAGCAAATTCTTCTTTCTCTAACGTTATTTCCCGATGCTTTTTATTTCTGCGACAGAGGCGATACGATCGGTTAATTGAGATGGTACCGCGATCGACAGATAGACAGTAATGAGTTTTAATTAATCGAAATTGGTCGATATTCAAATGGATCCACTTACGTACACAGCGGTAATGGTATACAGTAATTAGGTAAACGAAAAACCCCACGTGGATATAATCGTGGAATAAATCATTTTTTTTTTCAGAAGATCTAGGATGAAAATAGCGTTGCTCGTTATTCACATCAGAATCTATCCCGTTATTTGCGGACGCAGGCTTGTATTCCTTGTTTAATGTAGTGATCGGTGGATTTTTTTTTAAGAAACTGCTCGATGCAGGAAAAACTCATACGTGAACGTAGGAAAAACGTGAACCTTGATACAAATTCTGTTATTGAGAATAATAAATCAGGTGTTTATTCACTGCGCGACAAATCCAATTCGATGGTTTCGTATCGGTGTTTCAATAAACAAATTATATACTGTACTGTTGTGTTTCGAAATCGTTTCTGTGAAAAATTGGATGCTACACTCGTATTTGAATGAAATCTTTCAAATCTAGTCTCTTCGCTATCCTTGAGAAAATCCTGAACCTTGATAAGAATTCATTTATTACGGATACTGAAGGACAAGTTTGCTCATTTTGTGACAAATCAAGTTTGACACTTTTCAATGATTATTTTAGCGAACAAATTAAATCCCGTGAAATTGTATTTCATTGTTGGGTCGTCTGAACCA